TATGTATGATTGAAGACACCGGACCTTATTTTAATCAGTTTCATTAGGGCTGGATACTGGAGAGCATTGGACATTTGCTACCACTGTTTATTGACCAAACACAAATCAGTTCACAATGGGATTACAAAATTGGCCACTTCTGATTCGGCACATTCTAATTTAGGAACTAAAAAACGAAGATTACTCAGTCCCAAGACTCAGACAGTTAAATGTTTAGTGAAAAACGAGATAAAAATAGCCTTCGTTAATCAGTATCAATCTGAAGACCGAAACTTCATTTATCGATAAACAATGGTACTGCAAGAATAACAAAATATGCTAAACGGAACAAAGCCTCACAGTGCTCATGATTCATATCACAGACAACCAACTAACCATATCTGACGATCCATTGGTCCCGAGAAAATCTCCAGCACCGGGGCGGCCCGGATTGAGCGCCATGGGAAAACTAGGCACCTGTCCGTCTTCAAAATCGTCAGCTTCTAGATCCCCTTCGTGAGTGTCCATAACTGCAGCTAAGTACAAAATGGCAGGGCTTCGTTCAGGTCGGTTGAATTTGAGTGCAATACTGCACTTAAAACTGCGAATATCATACCTCTGTTACTCGAGGACACCACATCCAACATTAACCCAAATTGATTTTTCAACAGAAGTCATAGCATAGAAACTGCAGTGTTTGAAAGGGAAATCACCTCTGGGGATAGAGAAACATTCATTCGCAAAACCCTATCAACCTGGAAAGCAACATAGCTCAGCCATTATGTGAACTAATCCACCATTTGTTCCGCAAAACTGTGCTCACACAAACATGAAAACAACGAATAATTTCATCTATATACACAGGTGGCTTTCGTAGTGACCCAGCTAACTACCGCCATGTTACTCTCCTCTCCGTATTATCCAAAGTCATGTTGAGGACATGATGAGTTACTTGGAAAAATACAATGTGTTATCCAAGGTGCACCATGGGTTCGTTGCAGGCGATCGTATACCACTAATCTGCCCCTGCCCCGACAGGAGTGGACGAAAGCAGTTGATCACGATGATGCAGTAGAAGCAGTGCACTTCGACTTCTTCAAAGCATTCGACCGATTGAACCACAAAATACTGCTGAAGAAACCAGACAGTTATGGAATTCAGGGACTTGCACTGAGTTGGACAGAAGAATTTCTTTGGTAGCGCACCATGACAGTTCGGGTTTTTGGGTCACAATCTGATTCTATCAGTGTAGACCGATGAGTTTCACAGGGATCCGTGCTTGGAGCTCAACTTTTACAACTTTTCACAAACGATCTAACGAACGGTTTGGGGCCACAAACGTTAATGTTTGCAGACGATACAAAAATACGGAAAACAGTAAAAAACCTGAGGAATTATTTGCTGTTCAGAGAACATATAGTGCAGCCTAACAATAGTTGACCGGAAATGACATCAACCATTTTACTACATTAATTAAATCAAGCGAATAGACCCTGTAATCATGATCATGATCATTGTACAGTGCATGGCATAAGTGATACAAAAACGTTCAGATGAAGGTATTTGACAGCTGACTATTTGCGAATAGTCAGTTCAGCTGTAGTTCCTTGCTGATAAGCACATGTAGGCCTTATGCATGGATACTGTTTCTCAACGATGAGCACATCTTATTAATGTGGAATTTACTATGAAAATGGTAAGAAGACATTCAAGCAAGATCGTCGAAGGACCCATTCAAATCTAATTGACTCCTCCGATGTCTACAACGGATTTATCTAAATGAACATTCATTTGTACGAATCCAAATGAACACTAGAACAACGAAAATGACCAAATCCCTGAAACTGCCAAAGAGCAATGCGAACTTCTTTTCGGATTAATCAACAGCGTCCCCGGATATTGAATGTTTCAAGCGTATTTTACAGTTACGTCACTCGTCAAATGAAGCAATACATGACCCCAGTGATAGATGATTAATTTGATTTAAAATAACGACACCAGCACGAATTATGTAAAATATTTAAAGATTTGTAATGGTGCTGATCAAGTTTTTCTAAAAACACGGATCTGTGAAAATTGCATCACAAAATCAAGAGACACCGTTGAAATGCACGTATTGTAATCTTGAAATGACATATTCTACCAAAAAACGAGCCACATTCTAAGGGTCATTGTAGATTCGGGTTTTTTGTATTTAGTAAACATTCAACTCTGTTTTCATTTGGCGAAGATAAGACCACAAGACAACAATAAACCATTCTGTCGGCTATTGGGAAAGTATTGTAATAAATGGTCCAGAGAGTGCCTTCCGCCGATTGTATTAAAAAACAGCCAGTGGCGTCTTGTTAATACGTGTCCCCTGAAAACAAACCCTGACAACTGAGCGGTGGCATTTATCACACTAGTGACCAAATGAAAGGTGCACGCCATATGGTGCATATATATATATATATATATATACGCTGAAAGCAATCAAAATCTCCAATGTTAACTAATTTTTATTTTTACCAGTTTCCGCATCGTCACCCACACTTCAAATCAGATGTTGAAGCCTTTCTAAAACCGTTAATTTTTTCTAACACTCCGCGGTAAAGACGAATTTGTCGGCATTTGTGTTCGATAGTACAGTGATACAGAAAAAAAACCAGTGCATGTTCTCGCTGTAAGAGGTATTCAACCTTGAGCCCGTGCTCAAATATGGAAGTATTCCTAAAATTGTTGGCTGTGAACGTTAACATGGTCAGAACTGTTGGTTAATGTCCCCAGCAAGAGAAAGTTGCACAGGGAATTATTCTGCCACCCTGTTTCTCTTCCATTTATAAGTTATCCGTCAAGCCTGATTGTGTCGAATCTCCATTTAACAAGAACGCCGAGCTAAATTCTACAATATATCTTTTGACTTGACAAGAACACATNNNNAGAACACATCTGATTATCCCCGTAAAAAGAACTGTATTTATGAAGCTAAAGGACAGAAACGAAAAGCAAAACTAATTGGATCAAACTAGTTATTATTGATATGGCTACTGACTCCATATAGGATTATATTTTACCTGCCATAGAGTCCGTCAGTGAGATATCAGCAAAACCCGGTGACGCTGGCTGAGGCAGGTGTGGTGTGGATGCGGACGGACAGAATCGACTGACACCGTGAAAATCTAATCGACCGATGTCATTCCAATCAGTTCGATGTTCCATCGTTTCTTCACACTTGTAAGCGATATTTTCACTTGGCTCGCTCGGATTCACTTGTCTTCCATCCACTTCTGCAACTGCGGTACTAGCAGCCGCTTCCTGCGCATCTGACGGTCCGGA